CTGAAATGTACTCTTTATATATTGTATAATCTTTGGCTGAAAGATGATATATATTAAATAGATTTCTATTATGAATATAAATTTTAAATAAATAATATTTTTGTATAATAATTATATATAAATTTATAATTTATAAGCCTTATATTATTTAATTTATAATTAAAATAAATGCAATCAATATTTTTTATTAAATATCATTTTTAACACAGATAAAAAGAACATGGAATTAAAATCTATTTTGAAAAAATGCTAACTGCATAATGCATTATGTTATTGAGATTTATTATATAAAATAATTTTATTTATACAAAATAATTATTTTAATTAAAAAAATTGCATCCTATTTCTTTTTTTTAATTTTAAAAATTTAATTATCTTTTAATTTTGAATTTTTTTTTTATAGGTCAATAAGTTTATATTTTCTTAAAATTAAAATACTTGTATGAATGTTTTAAACTTGATTATTTCTAAAGCCTTTTAATTAATTATAAATGAAAAAAAATATATTAAAATTATTGTTTAAAATTTATAAAATCAATTTTAAATAAATATTGTCATCTGCATATGTTAATCATTTTATAAACATTTTAATATGAAAATATTCATAAAAGTTAAAAATATTCATAAAAGTCACTTTTATCTATTTTATTTAATAGTTATTCAACATTATTTGAAATCATATAACTTAATCATATAATTATTAAAATCATAATATAATTATATTCTATACTACGATATATTTATAAATAATGACTATTTAATATTTAATAATTACTTGTAAATATTAAAATTTATTTATTAAATTAAATTTAATTATAATTATATTTTTATATTTTTATAATATCAATATTTGATTAATGTTTAATCATACAATTTTATATAATTTATTTGTTATAGGATTATCTACATCAATGGGAGAAGCAAATCAAAAAACAGATAATGTTTCTGATAAGGTAAGAAATATTTAGTTTATTGTTTTAAAAGATTTAAAATAAAATTATTTTATTTTTATGAAAATTTATATATTTTTATATATATAAATTTTTTATTTTAGTCTTTCGATTCTTGTAAGTTAACAAGGAAAGAATCATACAAAGCTCAAAGAAAGAATTATCGAATGGAAAAAAAGAGATTTGCCGATGAACTTCTAAGTTCTTTTAAAGATCCAACTGTTATTGTGATGAGTGATTGGCTTAAAGTTCGTGGTACATTAAAAAGTTGGACAAAACTGTGGTGTATTCTGAAGCCTGGTTTGCTACTGCTATATAAAAGTCCAAAAGCAAAAGTGCTCATTTATATTGTTTTTAACTAAAATATTTATTTATTTCATCCAAAATTATATTTAAATAATTATTACAGAGCAATCATTGGGTAGGAACAGTTTTACTTAATACATGTCAAGTGATAGAACGCCCAAGTAAAAAAGATGGATTTTGTTTTAAATTGTTTCATCCTTTGGAACAATCAATATGGGCTCCAAGAGGTCCAGAAAAAGAAGCTATTGGTAAATAAAAAATTTTTTATAAATTAAAAAATATATTTTTATTAAATTATTTTTAGGTGCTGTTGTACAACCCTTGCCAACATCTTACTTAATATTTAGAGCACCTTCTCAGGCAGCTGGTAAATGTTGGTTGGATGCACTTGAATTATCTTTACGTTGTTCTTCTTTAATAGTACGCTCAACAAGTGCATTGCCACGTACTTTACCACATGATACTACAACAACTCATGAAACTCAATGGAGTGAAGCAGATTATGAAAAACATTTTGATGAACATGGTAGGTATAAAATAAATATATTACAAAATATTAGCATTTGTTAAAAAAATAAAGATTCCTTTTAAAAAATTTGTTTAATGAAATATGGAATGATTTTTTATTACATTTAATATATAATTGATTTTTACATTTGATATATTATAATTAACTTTAATAGAAAAATAATATTGCTGAAAAATAATAAAGAAAAATAATAATATATAACTTTAATAGAAAAATAAAATAACTTTAATAGAAAAAAAATATTTGATTAAATTTTATTCTTGAAAATTAATAGTATTAATTATATTATTATTATTATTCCTTTCCTGACATATTACCTAAAATTGCTTTTCATACCTATGCTTATCTAATTATGCTCCTCGATCACCTACAACATCTCAAAAACGTTTGTTATCATATCCTCAACCTGCAATAGCATCTATGACAAATGATGATGCTAAAAGCATTTGTCCTTCACCAACTCCCATGTTTGAGCAGTTATACCATGCAGTAGCATATTGGGACAAACAATTTCGTAATAGATCTCCAACTCTTGCTGCAGATACAGAGATTATTTTATCTTCAAATTCTGTAAATGCATTGGGTGGTGGAAATATTTATTCACATTTCGAATCTTCTTCTAAATCAATTCCAAATTCTTGCATTCGTCGTATGACTGTTCCTTCTATACATGTTTTGGAATATAATACCCCAGTAGTAATGCTAGATCCTCTGCACTCCTCACATACAGATTTGGACGATATTAGCCAACCGGAAAATGGAGTAGCAGCTGATGCAGAGATTAGCGCTTCGGATAGTGAATCTGAAGGATCCACCAAGGAAGATCAACAAGAAACAATTAATGAAACTCCATATGCTGCAAATGAACAAGAAGTTCTTGGAGCGGTAAAAATTATATGATATTATATTTATAATTAAAATTATTTAAATTTTTTATATTTGCATTTAATATATAGGCTGGAGAGGTAGTTACAGAATTACAAGAAGAACAAAAATCTTTAATATGGTTCTTAATGAAACAAGTTCGACCAGGCATGGATTTATCAAAAGTCGTTTTACCGACTTTTATTTTAGAACCTCGTTCGTTTTTAGAAAAGTTGGCCGATTCTTATTATCATGCAGATTTATTATCTCAGTAAGTATAAATTTATAGATTTCAAGAAATATTCATATAAAAATATGATGTATAATATTTTGTTTCTTGCTTTTACAGAGCAGTAGTAGAAGATGATGCATTTACACGTATGAAAGGCGTTGTTAAATGGTATTTATCTGGATTTTATAAAAAACCTCAAGGTTTAAAGAAACCTTATAATCCGCTTTTGGGTGAAACTTTTCGCTGCTATTGGCAGCATCCTAATGGTTCAAGAACTTTCTATATAGCTGAACAGGTATAGTAATTATTTAAATTATACTTATGTATTGCTATTTTTATAACTATAATATATTTATTATAAACATATTAATGTTAATAGCTTTCTCATCATCCACCTATATCAGGATTTTATGTTACTAATCGACAAGATGGATTTACTATTAGTGCTACAATTATTGCAAAATCTAAATTTTACGGTAATTTTTTTCTTATTTTT